AGAATCTCAGATAGTTACGTTTTTCTTATCTAATTTAAGGTCAGACCGATAGCTTTTTAGTTATTTTAGCATCCCTTCTCTTTATAGCCAAAAGTTGTTCATTTCTGCTGGAAAACCCTTTTGAAGGAGCTTACTCTTTGTTTTTAAATACCAAAAAAGGGAGACGTAGGGGGGCAGTTTTAAAACAAGCTTTTAGCCAAGGATCCAATCTATATTCCTATGAGAAAAATGTTGACCGACAAGTAAACAAAATTACTGTTTTTACTTAGAAGCTTTAATATCGTAAAAATCTATTTCCTGTGGAACGGTGACTTGACTTGATTTGACAAAGGAATAGAATAGGTTTTCGACTACGTTGGCTTGGAAGTTATCCCAGCTTGTGCAAAAAAATACAATCGAAAAGGTGATGGAGTGACAATAATACTTAAAAACAGATGGCGCCGCCTTCAGTAACCTGCTGGCAACATTGCCAGTCCATCACCTCTTAACAGCGTCATTGTATTAAATTGAATCCTATAGTTGTAAAAATGGTCATTACGATCAACAAAATAACTTTTTGAAATTATAAGGTTACCGATTTTATGTAGACTTTATGAGATAAATTCAATATGTCAGTATATCTAATGGAAAAATGTTCCGTAAATGAAATGTTGAATTGAAAATCACCAAAAATAGCATAATACCAAACACCAATATGCTTACCATACAAATAATACTCGTAATAAATGTATTGCTTAGCAGTTCTCATAAAAGGAATCTCCGAATATTTTTCTGACAGGGTAGCCAGAAACAATATGGGCTGCAAATAAGATTGTGATGCGAAATTTACAAAAAATACCATAATACCAATATACATATGGATGTACTTACCGTATCTACAATTTACGCGATAAATATATTTCTCAGCTTTTATCATAAGAGGAAAAAGTGAATATTTTTAACTGACAGCGCAGCCTGCTACAGTTCTTATTATTGAAATTCCTATTATTTGGATTACAGTTATGTTTAAGCTTGAAGTCACAATAGCACAGTATTTTGAAGTTAAGTGTTATTATGGTGATGCCACAGATGGCGCGCTTTAACGGCTTCGTTCATGTACGAATTGTGTGGTTTATATTGCAGAATTGAGTAAGAATTCGTGAATGATTTCATGGAAATCATGAAAATTAAAAAAAGCGGCATAAATATTTAGCAGCTATCAATACTAATCAAAAGTTTTGAAAAAATGTTATTTGTAACTTTTTATTTTTACAGTTAAATATTTAAGTGTTTTCTGATATTATTTTAGACATAATAATGATCTATTAGGGGAAAATAGTGTATTTAAATTTTTTTATAAAGAAATAATGTTGTCTTGATGTTGTATTTAGTAGTAAAGATATATACTCGTATATAAATATATATAAGAACTGAGGAATAGGGTTGTTCGACTTCACTAGAAAGTCGACTTTCGACTTTTCGATCGACTCTGTACAGTCGACTTTAAAAGTCGACCGATCCACGAAGAAAAGTCGACTTTGTTCGACTTTTTCGACTTTTTTAATAAAAAGAAAATGTATTAAGTATACTCTGCATTTAACTCAACTAGGAGTCAGATTACGCCAAAAATATCATGATTTACCAGTGGTCTTTAGAATAATCTGGAATTTAGTAAAATTCAATGCTAGGTAAAAAAACAGACACTAAAGGATTTTTAAAAATTTTGAAAATTGTTCCAGTTATACAGCATGAAAATTTTCGAAAAAAAATTTTAAATTCTGACAAAAAAAATTCTAAAAATTTTTTGAATCGATATTTGGTAATTACGGACAACTGTTTGAAAAATGTGGCCTTTCCGATGGAGCAGAATTGGCGGGTATTGGTAGAAATATAAGTGCCACTTTATAAGCATGGATAAATATGGGAGTAGCCCAGACAGCTAGTGGATTGGGACTATCCACACAACTAATGTCGCATATTAACTGGAATCCTACCAGCAACGTTTTTAGCGGTGTTTAAAATTTTGTACCTTACGGATTGGTCAAATTCGAAACAAAGACTGTGTGTGTGTAAAAACTTACATAAACTCAAGCAGAAAAACTTTCTTGCATGAAATTGTTAAAATAAATATAATAATAATATAATATGTTTATCTTACCTCGTTATTAACTGAAGATTGTGGAGAAAAACGATTAACAAATTTGAGGAATTTGTTATCGTATAATAATTTTATGAGCTGCTCTTAAATGATTTGTACTGTTGTACTGTAATTAAAATTCATTTCGCTACCACACTTTTCACATTTCACTTCAGGTTTATTGACAATTTTTTTTTTAAATACGACCAAACAGTACTCCGCGAGCTTGTTGGAAGATCAGTTTTTATTGGCAAATAAATTTAAAAAAAGTCGAGAGTAGAAAGTGAAAAGTCGACTTCCATAAACTGAAAGTCGATCACTAAAATTCGACTTTCAGGAGTAAAAAGTCGATTTTGGTCGAAAGTCGAAGTCGACTTTGCCATCCCTACTGAGGAATACAAAAAGCATTTTATGTTAAATATTTAGATTTTGAATGCCATCTAAAGTGCACGATGACTCATACGTGAAAGATGTTGTCTTGATGTTGTATTTAGTAGTAAAGATATATACTCGTATATAAATATATATAAGAACTGAGGAATACAAAAAGCATTTTATGTTAAAGATTTAGATTTTGAATGCCATCTAAAGTGCACAATGACTCACACGTGAAAGATTTTGTTAGTTGTGACGACTTTATATAATTTTCACCAGTTTATAGTTACGGTATGCGTAGTAGCGCCTAAAGAGCGGTTTCAAAATCGAATCACAATACGATCACAATACGGTTTTCGGCTTTTATATTTGAATTTATGTAAGTATATTCACTACATTTAGAATGAAAAAGTTTAATTTGATGTGAATTACTTGGAAAAATTGTATTTGTTTATTACTTCAATAGTAAATATTTTACTGTAGAAAATTAATAATAGATTACCTACTTATTAACGGATAGGCTTTTTAAGAGATCGTAATTGTATAAAAAAAATTCTTTACGAATTCGTACCTAATTCTGTATACATTTTTGACTTCACAATTCATGAACAAAGGAAACCCCTATAGCCTGCCATCTACCGACTGACATCGGCAATTAGTATTGTAAAGGTATTGAAGTGCTATTGTGACTGTAGGCTCGGTTTGTTTTTGTTTATTTGTTATTGACGTTTAGTTTTTCTTCTTTTTGCTCATGAATAAATCACAATAAGCAATTTTCAGAGTTGTATTCGCGAGTTCAATTTCGCTGAAAATTCATACGCAATTTCACGTGATATTTTTTTATATGGTCAAATTGAGAATTGTATCGCGATTTCTGCTGAAATCGAGGATAATGACGAAATTGCGCAATTGAGGCATCGTGGAAATACCCTTTATGAATTTTATACCACAACTTTGATATTGTACCACATTTTCCAATTTTTGGCTATTCTACAATGTTATTTTTTTATTTCATTGACTACTGCAAATTATACTATATATATAATATAATTACATATATAAGAAAATTGAGGTTATTGAAGCACAGTATTTTCCTAACGGTGATTTTTTCAATGTTGTTCTAAATTGTGTAACATTATTTTAAATTTTCCTTTTTTATTTATAAATTTAAGGTCTTAATATTGGGCACTATACTATTTAATTCCTTATTATCCTTTTATCTCTTATTGTCGCGTCCCATGAGTCAATAATAAAAGGATAATTATGAGATAATTATTGGCAGCCGCGGTTTAACACTCTTACAAAACAAAAGGTTGCACTTACGAAGGACTGAGAAAGAGGAGGAATGAAATCTCTTGGTGCGAAAATGGTAGTAGAAAAGTACGCAAAGTCGGCAATCAGTAGTGAATTTCCTTTTGCGAATTTTAATTTATTTGCAGGAAAATTGGCATTTCAAACGAAGTAGCAATAATTATACCTGAATTTTGTAATTTATTTCATTGGTTAATTGTGCTTTATTTGAATACAAAAATAAACATATTGCACAAAAAACGTATACTTCTATTTCACACGTACATAAGCTACTATTTTTTTAAATGGCAACGAAGCAACACGGTGCCACGGATAAGGGAGCTGTGCGAGAGAGACAACTGTCAGTTTATCGAACCATTAATTATTGAATTATGTGTGCGCCCACCACTGTCGTTTACGGTGTAAGCGATGCTGCAGTCACAATAGTGCTTCAGTACAAAATACCTTTAGTGTAGCTTAACAATGGTAAATTAAAAACAAAAATTAAAAAAACCAATTTCTTTACTTGAGAGGAGTTATTACCATCAATATTACCTAATAACACCTCAGGGGACCTCTGACTTCTCAAATGACACCTCATTAGTGGAACTGCTTACATAGGAAAATAGAAAAAGGGAAACTAACAAAAAAACACCTTAGAGAAATAATATATATGATTGATCATCACTTGTACTACAAATCTTGTTCAATTATTAATATTAGGTGGGGTAAGGT